CTGATTCGTCTTAACTACCGTATAGAGAAAGACATCATCAGCAAACAACCTGCACGTGCAGACCATTGACTGTGGAAGATCATCGATGAACAACAAAAAGAGAAGTGGTCCTAGAACCGAACCTTGTAACAATATTCCTCTCATTCAAATAACTGCGAAACCAACCAAGCAGCGATCCGCGAATACCTTTGCTCGCTAGCTTCAGTAATAAACCTTCATGTAAGACCTTGCCGAGCGCTTTACAAAAGTGGACGAAAGTCGCCAGAACTGGGTGCTTATCATTAAAAGCTGAAGTAATGTCATGAACCATCTGAACTAACTGAGTAATTGTGGAGTGAGATGGTAGAAAACCTGATTGATTCGCATTAATTTCTCGCGCTTTAATACGAAATGTAAATACTCGCTTGAATATGACGCGTTCGAATATTTTGGAAACAGCTGAAAGGAGGGTTATCGGTCGATAGTTTGTGGGGTGATGAACATCACCCTTGCTTAAATATAACGGTAACAAAACCCAACTTCCACTGTGAGGGAAATGTCTCCATTGACAATGAGTGATTGAATAGCGGTGTTAGAACAGATGCTAATTCAAAGGCACCCTCCTTCAACATCCGCCCACTGATCCCAGGAGCAACAGCTTTCATTACATTTATTTTCTTCAACACATAATATACCTCATTGACATTGTGCCGTCTTCTTTCTGTTCTATCCTTAACTCTCTCAATCAAAATCAATCCTTAAATCAATCAATCAAATCTCTTCGATGACTCGAAATTTTTCTCGAGGGCTCGCTAGCTATCTGAAATCCGAGGGCGCGAAATGGATAACTCCTCGAAAGTTTATATCGAGAGTCAGAAGTGTCATTTTTCGAGAGTTCGAGCCCTCGGCAAGGGCCTGTTTTCCAGTACTCGCCGCATCCCACGAACGATTTTTTTCATCTTTACGGGGATGGTGGTAACAAAAAGTGTGAAAAGTGGTCACACAATTTTTAAACACTATTTAATGCAAATTTATCTAAAGCCCCTATATTAAGCACTCTATTGAAGTTAGTAACTATTTCTTTCATCTGAAACTATGTGTAAATAAATCCACTTATATGAACAGAATTTTACATTCCATTAATAATAAGTACACATAAAAACATATTAAATCTGTCTACATTTTGTAATAGTATTATTATGGGAGAGGTATAGAGTTAATTATTCAGAAGAAAAAGAAGAAAGAAGAAGAAGAAAAGTTTCATCTTCATCATTTTCAAGTGTCTCTCTCTCTCTCTCTCTCTCTCTTTTATCATACTTCATTTATTTTATAAATTATTACTAATCATTAATTTTATTTCAAATTATAGTTGACATATAAAGATTAGTTGAAAAACAAAAATGTGCATAAGACGTGACACTGATTCATATTGAAATCAAATAGACGCATATTAATCAAATCTAATTCATTTTTTCAACAAAAACAGGACACTATTAACATATCAGTCATCTATTTGTAATAATAACGATATTGTTTACAGATTTATTCTGTAAAGTCTCCTATCATTTAATACTAATAAATTTCATATTTGATGGAGATTTATTTCTGTTTTTTTTTTTTTCTTTTTCATTAGTTTGTTTTCTAGCATGTATTCAATATGTGTTTTATGATATGCATGATATGTTTTTAGTTCTTCACTAGTAAAAATCTAATGAACCACTAACATATAAAATAAAATTCCCGTTCACATACATCATAAGAGCGATGATTATATAATTGATTAATTGAATATACTATTCGTATGTCATAGAAGTGAAACAAAAAAACAAGTTTTAATATTCCATTGAGAATGTGTTATCTATTTATTCAATATATAATTTATTTTTTGTTTTTTCGTTGATTTATGTAAATAGGCTATTATAGATGAATAATATTGCCGTCTCTTATATAAAAAATGAAATTTTCTTAATAAATAACAAAAAATATTTATCCATAAGTCACATCAAAATAGATAAATTTTCTTATATAGAAGAATATATTATTAAAAATGAAATTTAAATATTGTTATCATTTTTGTTTAATATTAATTTTATTTGTAAAAAAAGTATAAAATGGGAAAATATATTTGAATTATTTGAATCAAATTTTGAAAGTAAAGATATTTTTTTGTTCTATTTCTGTTTTCTTGTACATACACTATTATCTACATGTGTACATTTACATTGAAAGATAATTTACACTTTTAATGTTGATTGATAGATATGATCTTTAAACAAATAGAGAGAAATTGCATTTTTTCTATTTTTTTTTTTTTTGTTTTTCTATACGTACGTACTCAACATCATTTAATAGACATGTTTTTCATTGTGATAATAGTGCGAATAACAAATTTTTCTATCTAATTTCACTACATGGGGTTATTATACAAACATTAGTATACGTGCCCATTAATTGGTTTTAGAAAACAGTAAGTAAAGAAGATGATACAATAAAAGATCTGGATCTTCTATTATATTCTTAAGAATAAAGATTTCGGGGAGGTCTAGTATTAGGAAATATTAATTATGAATTTTGCATGACTTATAGGTAAAAAATTGAAAAACAGCGAGGTCTTTCATTTCAACTTTTACAAAATGAGCTCAAGAGAGGTCTTCCATTGTGGGAAAGTTCAGGGAGATAAAGCATTACAAGACAAATGTACCTATTTCTGGCGTTCCACTTTTTAGAAGCCGAACGTAGCCGTATGTAGACCAAGATTTAGACCAAAACTGAAAAAATTTCTTTTTTTATTCCAAAATGGCAGTCTATCATTCTAGAGTGACATTCTGAGATTCCAGAAATTCTGTATCCATTCTGGAATGTGCTTTTTACCCCTTTTGGAAGTTCTTGTAATATGTCCACTTCTTTAGTAGAAATTCATTCTGATGTTGGAAAATGAGCAGTTAAAAAACCGTAGATAAAAGAAAATATAACGATATTGGTTTTTGGTGATGGTCGTGCGATAAAAAAAAGAAAAACCGACCATTTTTAAACATAGTCAGGTAGAAAATTCTTTTTGTACAACTAGCTTAGAAGCGAGTATAGATGGGTTTATACGGCTGATTATACTGAAAAGAATCATTTTTAGGATCTCTGACAGGAAGATAATTACAGACAACTGCTTCTTTTTTTTGTTTTCACTGTAAAAAACATTGTCTTTATAACATTATATGCAAGAGTAATTCTTCTTTTCGATATTTCTTCTCGTTTGTTACCTAGAACTCAATCTACTTCATTAGATTTCTCTGATTAATGTACACATGTACTTTGAAAACGTTCGTTCTAAGAGAGTATTCGTCGTTTGTGGCACAATAGTAGTGTGAAATAATTTACTCAAGAAATAGCGTCTTTAATTCTCACGTATGAAACGACTTTAATTTGCTTAAGTTTGTAAAAAGTAGATATTAATAATTTTTTTTTTCTCAAAAAAAAAATTTGTGACATAAATCAGCTGTGTGAATATGACAAAACATCCTAGAAATTTACAGTGTATTTTTTTTTACGTGATATTTTCTTATTCTTATTGTATTTGGTCTATTTTCAATTTCACACGTTCTATGTCTATAGTAGAATGATTATGAGAAACGAGAGCAATTTTAGATCTATAATCGTTTTTGTGTATGTTTCTACAGTATACCGGCAACAAAAAAAAAAAAAGACTTGTTTCTTGTCTTTTTCATTATCCATTATTCGAACGGAAAAAAGGAACAATAACAGCAACATATCTATCTTCGTCTTCTTCTTCTTTTTTTCCTAAACATGATAATGTAAAAAAAAAGTAAAATATTTAATAGCATGTACGTAAAGAAAACGAAAGATTTTTTTTTCTTCATCTTCTTCTTTTTTCAATTGCTACTAAAACGACTACTAATAAAGAAGAGCATTTAAGTGTTACACTTTTCTTTCTTTTTGGTTTTCTTCATAAAATGCTTCATTTTCCATTTGAGATATAATATAATAGAGAAAATTTAAACATTTGCATTATAAAAAGAGATCATCATTTTAAAAATGATAATAATTTTTCTATATACGAGAAAAATCATCGATTTTTTTTTGTTAAAAAAAAATTTATTTGTTTATTTTCTTTATTAGATAGATTTATAGATTCTTTATAATATAGTACAAGTGATTATAAGAAGAATAAAAAAAAGAATTAACAAAAGAAAGAGATTAGTCTATTATTGTTATACCGAAAAAAAAGAAGATACTTTTCGTTTAAAAAAAAAAGAAAAAAAAAAACAAAAACAAATAATAAAACAGAAAAATTTTATTAGCGATGTTCAAACGAATAACGAGATATATAATTGAATGAATATGGTCAATAATAAATTTAACAGTTTCAGTTATATTCTTATATCTCTTATTTGTTATAACTAGTGGTGTCTAGTGGTTATTTCATATCTTATTAGTATTCTTATTATTTTATAACGTAAGTATAATTATGACTAATTAGAAACGTCTGAATTATACACACTATTCATAACTTATCTCTTAAATAGAGTATAAACATCTGTTCTTTTCATTATTATATAAACTGCATTTGTATTCTAACCTGGATACAATGCAATACTCATATTTCTCTTGAGTTTTTCAGAGATTTTTTTTTTTTTGTTTTTCGAACAGATTCATTTTACAGTTGTCTTTTATATATGTCCTATGTAATTGTAACAAAAGTGATAAAAAAAAAATGTATATATATATATATATACGTAATCTTAAATGATCAAATGATTCGTCGTTTGACTTTTTTTCTGACAGATGAAAGTAAATGATGGATGAAATGCGTGCTGTTACTGTCTCTTTATTGTTAATTTTCCGCTACGTGATACAATAAATAGTTTTGAGAGATGTCTTTTTCTTACAAGTATACATCAATTAGTATTCTCTGTCTTTTCTAGGTCAATAACACTTACTAATTACATGACAGAAAACAAGAAAAATATATTTGATTCAATCCTCAACAATTTTAAATGTAAATGAACATGATGAATAAAGCACAGCAAAGTGATGAAAAAGATGATATTTTAAAACATTTAGTATCCAAACATCAACAATTAACTCATCATTTATCAAGTGTTTCTTCGCCAATTTCAAGTGTAACACCCATTACGGGTATAAATGATTTAAAAAATCATCGTAGTGCAGCTGATATAGAACGAGAGAAACGAATTGTTTCTAGAGTTGTTAGTATTGTTGGATTAATCATTATTTTATTGTGTGCGGTCATCGTGACATTAACACTTAAAATGGCACCAAAAATTGATGAATTGGTACGAAGGAAATCGGGAAGTAATTTAATCCATTTTCCTAGTAGTCGAATTATGACTACATTAACAATGACATCAACTATGACAACGACTGAATTATCATCGACAAGTAATTTGACAAATGCTACTACTACATATCAATCTCCTTTATATAGAAGATCAAAAAGTTAAAATAAAAAGTATCACTTTTTTTTTCCATAAATGTTCTAAGTTGAAATCACTCTACTATTTTTCATTCAATCTATACATTTTCTTCCGACACTGCCACTTATTTTCCCATTTATAAGACTAAGATATTTCTAATTAACAGTTTTGCGGAAGTTTAGACTATTATTCACTTAATGAAGAAACGATTTAAATAGGTTGCATCCCTGCTTAATTCATGGTTGTACTAACTTACGAGACAAATTTCACGTCGGCTTCAGTTGAGCAATGGACTAAACGAAGATTATCTGATGAAAAAACTTTTATACGTGTGCGTTTGTGTCTTCTTTGAAATTCAATTAATTATGAGTTATTCTTGATGCAGATCACAAATATGTTGTCCAGTTTATCAATAGGGCTGTTTTCGGTATCTCTCTAAAAAATTGGTCTCTGAAGATCTATTCTAAATTTTATGAAGAAATAAATTCTAATCCATTCAGTTTGTAGACCTTGTCGAGGTTACTCGTAGAAAAAAAGTTTAGATTAACGAACAAATTTCCGATGGAGCGATAGAAAATATGCTATCGAATTTCTGGTAGAAGAACAACTTTACAGTACACTCTGTTTTATAATGAATTTTAGGGATAACTTGACGGGCTTTACAAACTGAATGGATTAGAATTAATTCATCATAAAATTTAAAATGGAGAAATTTTAAATGGCAGAAGCCAATTTTGAGCGATATCTAAAATAGCTCTATCAATAAATTGGACAATCTATTTGTTAACTGTATCAAGAATAACTGTAATTAAGTTCTTTGTCTCGAAAGCTAAAGTTGACAATCTTTGAGAGAAGAGCGTTCAGCCAGAGAAGTTAGGATAGGATGACGACATAACAATTAGGAGTTCACTCTTCTTAATCATGCCATAAAACTAACGATCAATAATTGAATGAGAACAAAATATGCAGAAAACGTCATCAACCATAGTTAACGGCAGTATTATATACGTGTTTGAAAAGGAAAACTGTTCTTAATTCGACTTTTCATGTTATTATGCAACATTTTCAGATTTGTTGTTTTTTGATTAAAAATATCACGAAAATTACTTGAAATCTCGAAAAACATTTTTCTCTTAAACTGTTACTTTCTGTTACTGTTGTATTTGCTATACAATCAATTTCTCTTGTTCTCTTTTATTTTTCTAATACGTTATCAGAGAAAGTGTTTGCAATCTCTGCTTTGTATCAGAAATACATTATTATTTTGTCATGCAGAAAACAAAATAAACAATACTATATTTTTATCACTATTGAATTAAAACAATAACCATTGTATTCGTGTTGTTTCCAGTTCACAAAACTAGAAAAAAAGATTTAGTTATCTCAAAAAAGTGTGATCAAGTTTCTCTCTCTCTCTCTCTTCGATGGATATATCAATTAGAAAAGTGCCTTTTATCGAACATGGTAATTTGAATACGTTTTTTTGCATGATAACTGTATCTTTGAGTCGTAGCTTCATAAATGCGACCGAAATTTAAGATAATTAGTATAAAAGTGGTCGCTTTTTGAAACGAGTAAATTTATATTATTCTGTGTTTCCAAAAAGCGGCTTTAAGCGACTTTTTAATTAAGGAGTAATAAAAAAAACCGTAATTTGAAATATAGATATATAAATTAGTCGCTTTCTACAAACAGTAGAATTAGAAAGATATAATAAGAGCTGGTGACTGTATTATGCAGTTGCACTTAAAAAGCTAATGCCTATATTTATGATGAATATTAGAATAAGAACCAACTCTCAGGACAAAATGATTAACTTTGATTAATAATCAGTAAAACATATCATAATGATTAATTCTCGCAAAAGAACATTTAATAACATGATTAGTCGTTGGAAACTTTGATCATGAGTTCTTTCTTATGAATAATATAAATAAACTGATTCAAAATTAACAGATTATATTTTAAATAATTATATTGTAGATGCTCGTATTTCATTTAATATGTGGATTCATTTTGATTCAATCGCTGAAACTCCATGTACAAATAAACACTTAAAAGGTTATCATAGACAGAGGTGGCGGAACGTTCCCAAATGGGGTCAGACTCGCGGTAAGAAAAGCAGCAAATTTAGAAATTTTTTCGAGAAAGTGCAGTTTTCCGTAATAAAAGTTGTCGTAACAAGAACAGCAAGCAAACAAGGAAATACTTTTTTGAGTTCAATTCGTCAAAATAAAATGTCAGCTCGAGATCCATGAATCCAAGCTGTTTTTACTCAGACTCCAAAAAAAGCGACGTTCCTAGCAAAAACGCCAAAAAACGGATAAAGATTGCGCTAGGCTAATCAAACTAAATTTGTTTGAAAAATGTGGCATATCTATATGATTAAAGGATCGCTACGCTATTTTGAACAAAAGACAATATATATTTAGAGGTTTCTTGGCGTTTCTGATGCGAAAAGTTAACATTTTATCCTGATCCAGTCCTCTGTCCTCACTGCACATATTTCATGTTAGTCTCTGCGTTTAAGATCACTGAAAAAAAACAAAGTTTAATATACGCAGCCAAACGTCTTTTAGTGTTTTATTCAAATAAATGAGGCCTTTCTGTCAATGTAGCCAAGTATGATCTAAAAATAACATAGTGCTAAATTCAAAATTCTACATCAAAATGGGGTAAGTCTCAGCCTAACAGAGCCAAATCCGGGTAAGGCTTAAGCCTTACCCAGCCTAGTGGTTTCGCCGCCTCTGGTCATAGACAACTAAATGCACACGTGCGAACGAATCTGGATCTCTGTACGTGGATTAACGAAGTTTGTTCATCGGAAGAATCTGTTATGAGTTATTATGAGCAAGAACCACCTCAAAACCGTACAACAAGACCAATAAAACTAAAAAACATACGTGATGATGCGAAGCTTAGATTAGCAAAATCGAAGATAAAGATTTTGATAGTTATCAAAAAGTTTTAAGAGCCCTTTCTCATCGGTGTATAGAAGTGATCGAAGTAATGCCGGAGATCGTAGTGACGAAGACTAAATTTTTTGTTGATACAGTTTTTTTATTATAACGGCGTATATATAATATATAAATATATGAGTAAATGTACTTTTGATCACCAAACATCTTTAGATACAAATGATCACCAAATAAAGATACTTTTAATTACCAAATTTTTCAGCATGCATCTCATATTTTTATTTCTCAACAAATTATAATGTATAACACAAACATATTCATTGAAATATTAACCAAGTGGACAATATTTTTACAGTTTTATTTATATCTATTTAAAAAATTTGAAGCTATGCTGACTTTGTTGGAACGCCCTTTTTGCATTTCATTTGCCTGATGATTGAATACATGTTTTATCGTCGACGGCTTATATTAAATGGTTTTCTGGTGTGGCAACAATCCTGTTGGCTTGTTGTACCATTATTAGTATACTCTGTTGGCTTAGCAATTTTATTTAACTTGTATCAAGTTAGCGATAAAACATGTATTCAAGCATCAGGCAAACAAAATGTGAAAAGGGCGTCCCAAGAAAGTTAGCATAGCTTCAAATTTTTTAAATAGATATAAATAAAACTGTAAAAATATTGTCCACTTGGTTAATATTTCAATGAATATATTTGTGTTGTACATTATACTTTGTTGAAAAATAAAAATGTGAAATGCATGCTGAAAAATTTGGTGATCAAAAGTATCTTTATTTGGTGGTCATTTGTATCTAATAGAAAAAGATTAATTGTATGAGTTCAACAATTATTATTTTAAAACTTTTATTTAAAACAGGAGCGTTCGATTACAACTGTAATCATCGTCAGCTACATTTAAACGAAAAACACTCACAGTATATATATATATATGTTCATTTTACTATTCTTTTCTGTTCTCTTCTCTTCTGTGAATGTAGTAGATATTTTTAAGAATATTCTTTTTCATTCTCTTAGAGAAAATAGTGAAAAATTCTACGAAATATGCACACTATATATATGTACACCCAGAGTGAGAGAGAGCGCAGAAATTCATTGTCGTTAAAATGAATTGTTGTTTTAAAATAATGATTGTTGAACTCATACAATTAATCTTCTCCTTTATGAAATTATTATCAACAAATAATGTGGGAATTGTATCTAATGATGCTTGGTGATGAAAAGTAATTTTTTCTTGTGATAAAAAAGTTGATACCCTAAATATATAGTCACCAATTCTTATTATATATCTTTGTATTTCTATTGTTTAATTTATATATTTCTATTTCAAATTAAGATTTTTTGATTACTCCTTAATTAAAAAGTGGCCGCTTTTTGGAAATGCAGAATAATCTAAATACTCGTTCCAAAAAGCAGCTAGCGTTATACTAATTGGCTTAAAAATTTCGAAAGTAGTCCATTGAGTTAGACAAAATAAACTTGAGTCGTATTGTCCTTTTGCAACTTTGAAGATGATGAATAGTTCATAAAGTGAATGAGGATATTCAAACTAATTATAAATGCCCTCTCAAAAAGTTTTCTTAATTAACGAATCAAAAAATGGTCGAAAAAAATGAACAATGTCATCCCTAATTTGTCATTAGTCAATGCTAATAGACGTTTGATAAGTCTAATTGATACACCGATACACCTGATCGATCTCGACAAAGGAAGTTGTAAACCGAGCAGTACATACAATGCCCACACGTTTTATATTTTAATCTATTTGTTTAACAAAAGAATGGACATGCATACACACCAGAAATGACGTAGAACCGATAAAACATTGTACTTTGTTCTTAGTAGAAAACATAATGTAGACAAACACAGCAATAAATAAATAACTGTAAAAGATAATAAGAAGATTTAAAAACGTTATTTTAGAAAAAAGTAGAAAAATATTGCAGAGTTTAGATATATCAGATAAATAGCAAATACCGAACAGAAACAGAAAAATGTGATGAATGCAAAGAGAAAACAGACAATCTACATGATCTCCGCCCAATAATTTTGCGGACAAAATATCCGTAACGGAATTCGCTCAAAAACTGAG